CTTCTTCAGCTCCTCCTTCCGTCGATCTAGCAATCTTCCTACCAGTGGTTTACCCTCTCTTGGAATCTGGTCTAATTTCTGCCTGGTCCAGCGATCGTATGTTCTTCTTGCAACATGTCCTGTCGATTGCCAATTTAATTTCCTCATTCGTGCAACAAAATCGCCGAGCCATTCATTCATCTTCTTATTGTTTGTTTGTTATTCGTAACAGACATTTTTCCATGCCGCGCTGCGTAGTCCGCAGCTTACGAATAGCCTTCAGGCGTAAGGTCCACATTTCGTGTCCATAGGTTAGCACTGGGAGAACAAACTGATCAAAAACTTTCCGTTTCAAGCGCAAGGACAGTTTCATGAAAAACTGCATTTTCAGTCTTCCAGAAATACTATGTCATTTATATTCTTCTTCTGTCGTTTTCATATCGTAGGTTGTCCATTACAAAAACGAGTTGTTCCAGAATGACATAGCTTTGCACTGTCTGTAAGTTCATCGACTTCAGTAAGTCACACGGTCACGCAATTGTTCAATTTTACCTGAGTCTTCCTCAAGTCTATTCTTGAGTACCCTTCGTGAAGATCAATTGGATGATTGACAACAAACTGATCAGCCTGTAGTTCTTCGAATCTTCTGTCTCCCTTTTCCAATTATAGAATCAAATCGTCTGGAATTATCAGTTCCTTAAGACAGCGTGAAAATAAACACACTCATATCTTGGTCAGTGGTTCACCTCCTGATTCCATTATTTTCCCTACTTTTGTCTAGGTTAAGAGCCGTCTTCGTTAGAAGCCATTCCTGGCTTTGCCTGTTTTGTTGCATATCACATGTCTCCTGTGTTCTGGCTACAAATCTGGAACTTCGTGAACGTCGTTTTACCTTCAAGTTCCTTTTCGTCAATAGTGTGTTTCTATTTTAAACTTGCAAAGTTTTCAATAAAATTTTCCATTTTTTAGAATATCTTTCCGGTTTTTGATGACAGTGTCGTCTTCTACCGTAGGAAGTAAAATTCGTCGTTTCCTGACCGTAAATCTTTGATTCAATTTCTTCATGCTTCACTTCGTTTTCGGTTCTTTCCTTTACCAAACTGCCATAGAATTCTCAGACGTCTTCATTTATCCATTTCCTTAAAGTTTTCTAAATTTCAACGTATTCCATCATCGACTCCTGATCTGTTGCTCTCCTCACGTCTTTTCATTTCATGAGTTCCTCCTTTTGCTTCTAAATGTTACGGTCGCTTTTCGCTGTCCTGCTTCTTCAGACTCTTTCTGCCGTTTCTTCATAAGTGCCATCGTTAAATCCTGGTACATTAACCTGATGTGCACTGCTTCTCATGTATCTTCTTGCATTCTGGATTGGAATGGCGGGAGGTTCTTCATCAGCATTCCCACATGGACTATTTTGACTCTCGTCTAGACAAATTTTCCTCCCTCTGAAACTGAGTTGAAATTCATTTTGCACCTGTCTGACGAGGTTGTGGTCGCTGTCTGAATCAAACATGCTCAGCACCACGACATGCTGTACTGTTCTTCATAAACCTAAACACTGTAACTGAAAAATAAGAATTGGCTGAGAATGGAATAGTGAAGAACATGTGTCTAGAAAACCAAATTAGGCAAAAGTTTTGGAAGAACTTTTTTAAGGTTGGTGAGGTAGCTCACTCGGTGGCAAGTGAAAATCATAACTGCTCAAAATCTTGACGCAATGCGTAACGGTAATGAATTAGTGACCAATCAACTTCTTCTATCAGCCGATTGCATTATTACTGGCTGCTTGATTGGCCGTTCTATCTATCGATTGTGTAGAGGACCCCTCGATACATACATATATACATACCATCAGGCATGGATGCCTGGTCTGATAAGGTACACGTTCAACGAACAGCATCTTGTGGTGGACGAAACTAAACCTGACAACTAGCTGAACAGAAGAACCATCTAAGCGACCGTCTGATCAGCGCATCTGTAGACCTTCTTCATGGCATGTTTTCCTATTCCGACTTTTTTGTGCTATTCAGAAAGCTTTTCCTCGATGCGAACGAAGAACAGCCATCATTTACAGTCCGCAAATTAAAGAGCAATATGCAATTCTGAAGGTTATGAATACTCATCGAACGAAACATCCATTCCCAGAACCAAACCTGTTTGTATAAATTTAAGTTTATCCTGTAACACACGGGTTTCATGCCCGTTGGCAATTAATCCTCAAAATATGCTTCTCTAAAATGTCGTTAACAGAGGTGGGCGACACTAACTTACTGTACCAGCAAAAAAGAATTTTAATAAGAAAATTTCACAAATGCAAAAGCATTTTTAAATAAGATATTCGCTTCGCAACGCAGGAAGTTGAGGAACCCTGTATTAAGACAGAAACATCACTCGAGTGAGAGAATAAATTCGACGTGAATTCACACTGTATGCAGATTACAGTCGTATGATTTCAGACATCAAATATAAATCAACAAAATACACTTTTAAAATACAAATCCTTAAAAGCTTAAAAAAGCTCAAGCCAAGCCTCAATAACGCACCTCAGTTCCGATATATCAAATATTATGACCTCTTTACGGTGAACCACATCATCAAAGTGGCGAAGGTGTAACCTGCAAATCGTTTTGTCAGTCGTTTCCTAATACTACCTGAAGTTAGACCCATATTCGGTGCTGCATCATCTGCCTCCGTATCAAACTACTCACTACCGCCCTTCAAACGGTAATCACAAAAGGTAAAAAAGCTGAGTCGGTTCCTGACTCAGTGATTAAGTATCTGCGTCGAAATGAGGATTGCTGCAGGCCTCAATTCACACAGCAATATAGCTGTGTCTTCGATAGAGTGCTTCGAATAGAAGGTTAAACTCGGTTCAACTGAAAGCCTGCAAATGAATCATTGAAACGGTAGATATTTTCTAAACTTTAAGACAGTACTTTCCGGTTAAAAGGCGTTCTCACTAATGGCTTCCTGGACTTACTCGTTCGTCACAGCTGAGTTATGTTGTATGGTATCCGCCACCAACTGCCATTGCTCGGGTGCCATCGAGGGTGCCCTTGTTAAATGGTTCCTGAACTATCAAAAGGATTGGTAGCATTGCCCTGTAGCTCAGCGAAATGAAGCCTATTTTCATTCTTTGTGGCATCACTGGTCAGTCCGATGATAGTCGGAGTAAGGCATAAAATAAAACTAATGCTTCAGTCGAATAGTTTACCACCGTTCAGGGAAAAGCCATTCGGTTGTACACTTAGAAGCGTGGGTTCGCATTGAACATCGCAGAAAACTTTTACCGATTGCCAATTCTGTCGAATACGGAATCTTATCTGTGATCAGACACACGGGTAAAGTTATGTCAGTGATATATACTTCAAACAATGGCTATGATCCATCGATTGCTCGCCAATAGCGTAAGTTATGACTTATAAATAAAAATGAGGACAACGCCACGACCACTGTCCGACCAAAAATGATTCGCAAGGGTTTCGAATGTCGTAGTGACGAACGGCACTAAATATCATTGCTGATAGTCGGGATTCGAAGCATTTTTCGGTTACCCTTCGTGGGTGGGTCTGTGACGGAAACAAAACGAGTTTTGCTTACAGTAGGACGAGTCAAGCATTACAAACAGTCTTTGGCAGCTGGAAAGCTAGGATAATTGGAGCACTTCATATCCAGCTCGCAGGCTGAACCAATCACAAGTGGTTCATCTTCTCTGACAGTCTTGTAGTTACTTTGTCACATTACTGTATCTTTGTCAAACTTCTTTCTCTTCGCGACAAACTTTGATATAAAAAGCTGTTTTTTTATAATCAACCCTATCGAAGTCGTTTAACGAGAAACATGGTTTACCTGAGGTGGATCTATCACCATCGATGAGGGAATTGGGCAAACACAAGCAACTTAGTCTGGGTGCCATTGATCAATCATCAAAGTGGACCTCAAAGCGTTCGAAAATTGTGAGGTTCGGAACGGTCGGCCATGGCAGCTTCCTAGCACAGACGCATATTAAATGCTTTTTTGCTGATGACACAGGAATTGC